AGAATTTGCATGGAAAACTGAATTTATGCTAGCTAATATTCGGCAAAACAATGCGAGAGAAAAAAAAAGAAAGCAAAACAAACCCGTTCGACCTCATTGTCTGCAGTTTCACCCCTAACGACCATCGCACAACAGTTATCCAGACAGCACAGAACTGCACAAAGTAAACATATGAATGGCATACGTGGCACCTGACAGCACATAAAGCAATCACGACCGAAGTACAGTGCAAAGAGATCGTCATAACTATGCGGCAATTCCAGCAGTGTAAAGCGACGATATCCGAGTGGTTCTGATCGTAAAATCTAAACAGTGAATGAGCATGAAATTTTTTAGCGCAAAAATCAATGAATTAAAAATCAGCAGATTCTATAGGCTTTAAAACTGAAGAATTTGTTACCTGCATAGATGCAGTAACACCTACGAAATTATAAGTCGGCAAGAATGAAGCTAAAATATGCAGTAGAAGACACTGATTGTCGCGAAAAACATGCGAAAAGTCGGTCAAGAAGCCGTCACAAAGAAAAAAGGAAATAAAAGGAAGGGGTATCTTGCCCCGAAAGGCAAATACACACTAGTTGCGCTGCCAAGCTGGACCTGGAGCACAAAGACCAGTGGTGTAGTGGTAACACATTGTATCTGGACGTGAAGACGAGTGGTTCGAATCCTTACCGATCCAGAACAATTTCTGACGAAGAGTCCCATTCATGACACTGACGAGTAGTCTGTGTTTCATGCTTTAGCAGACCAGTAGACGCAGGCACGAGTAGGTGTCATCAGTACAAACTCACATCAACTAGTTCGAAAATAGGGGTGCTTGTTTTAACTGACGAGACCAGAACGGAGATATGCAGTGCAAGCATATCAAGCACGCTTTATAAACCAGAACATTTTTTCGTTTTGTATGCTCACAGACTTCACCATATTTTTAAGCTATTTTTTGAACCCACATATCAAAAACAATAAGACTGCCCGGACAATCGGTGTGGAGATCTTATACTAATGAGGTTACTGGAACACCCCACGTACCGGCGCATTTGGGGTATTTCAGTAGGTCTATCGATATTGGTGCATTGATCCAGCTGGTTCCAGTAGGTCTATCGATTCGCCGAATTTACACAGTCCCAGAAATTTTGCAAATTAAGATGCTTTTGTAAAATATTCTTGACCTAAAACAGTAATAACTTGGTTATTAACATATTTTTTGATGTTATTCATGATAACAATAATGACAACATCAATAACAATAATAATAACAAAAATAATATTAATCCCGGAACTAGAACATTTTGGCGTGTCTTTAATAAAAACAACCAAAACAACAACAAAATTGGTAAATAACGATGGCAATAATTAATGATGATAATTTCAATAATTCGAGAACTAAAAAAACTTTGCCGTGATTCTATTTAGTAGGATTTTGAGCAAGTTTAACTGACTTAATATACTGTCGAAAATAATAATTTTTATCAATACATATTTTATCAACATAGAATTATCAATACAGAAGAAAAAAACATAAAACATACCCCAACAAAAGAGGTTGTCGTTATTTTGCCGAATAATTCATCAACCCATTTTTCAACATGTGCCGCTGGCAGGAACGCAACAGATAGTTCATCATCACCTGAAAATTTATGAAATATAGTACAAGAGTTCTCACTGACAAAAATTTGAAAAACTGTTGAGGCTGGTCGAAAACAGAGAAACCCGCCGTGGGCCAATTGTATCTGAGACAACAATGGAGGTGGTTAGAACTCTATGGAGGCAATAGAAAGTGGCCTGAGTAGTAACTGCCAAAACCAACTGCCGTGGAAAACCCGCGAAAAGCCAGTCAAGAAACCATCACAAAGAAAAAAGAGAAGAAAATAAAGGTGTGTCTTGCCTTTCAAGGCAAATACACAGTAGATGTGTTGCCAGGCTGAACCCGGAGCACAAGGACCGGTGGTGTAGTGGTAACATATTGTGCCCGAGCATGAAGAGGAATGGTTCGATTCCCTCCCGGTCCGGAAGAATTTTTGAGAAAGGGCTCCGTTTACGATACCATCTTTGGTAAAGTCGCCGATGGTTTTTCCTTTCATGAGTTGCTTAGAAGCAAATTGATATAGGTTGACTTCATGGTATGCACCAGTAGCAACGGCTTCAATTTTTGAGGTAATAAATTATCCAAAAAAAGTAATCTTTTTACCGACAAATATACAAGTACCTGTGAGCAACTTATGAGTTTCTTCAAATGTTGCGTGTCCGATAAGATAGGTCTCATCAAAAACTATCATGCCACATTCATGCCAAAACTGTGCAGTGAAACGAGCCAGGTCTGTGCAGCTGTATCGGAAAGCTTTTTCAAAATCCACTTCCGTCTAAAATTTTTTTGATTATTTCAAAACCACTGTTAAAAAAAAAACAAAAACAAAAATGAAAAACACAGTGAGTGTGCTAAGAGTAAAAATTACACAAAAAAAAGTACGCGGTGACGGTATTTTCAAAATCAAATATTGCTTATATAAGATTAAAAAAAAAAAATGAATTCATTTCAAGAAAACCGAATTGCGTAAATATTACCTCGGTGAAAATACGTAAAACATTACCTTTCCAGAGCACAAAATATCTTCTGGCTTCTGATATGGCCTTGAAGAAAAAAGTCTTTCGACGACATTTGCAGTAGCAAATGTAAACACCTGAAACAAATAGTTTATTAATACTTGCATTACTGCCCACATACCTTTCCGGATAAACACGGGGATTACGAGCGTAGCGATAAAAAGCCTCCTCAAGTCATTCAAAAAAAAAAAATCCAAGGTTGTTTAATACATTTCTA